CATTTCTTTTCTTTTCTTTTAATATATTTTTATTGATTTCAGAGGGGAAGGGAGAAGGAGAGAGAGATAGAAGCATCAAGGATGAGAGAAAATCATGGATAGGCTGCGTCCTGCATGCCTCCAACTGGGGACTGAGCCTGCAACCCAGGCGTACACCCTGACCAGGAATCAGATCCATGATCTCCTGGTTCATAGGTCAATGCTCAACCACTGAGCCATTTCTAAGAGTGAGTTTACCACATCCAAGGGGTGAGTATCATTCAGGCTGGCAATAAAGATTGTCAGATTTTCACAAAGATTGTGCGGATTTCTATTCTCAGGAGCCCTTTTGATTATTGTCCTTATCTCCTTGCCACTGCAAACCCAAAGTGATTAATCTGAGCTCTAGGGCATCTCTGTAACTCACTAACCATCACATCCATTTACTTCCCCATGAATAGGATTTCAGATTCCAAAACCTGAGGTGATCTGTCAGCTGGAACAGTGGGAAGACCCATGGATCCTGGATCTACCAAAAGCTGGGACTAGAAGGGCTTCCAGTAGTGCTTGCCCAGGTGGGTGAGAAGTCCCAGACAAGCAGAAACCATAAAGAGGAAGGGAATCACATTAATGAAGCTCCTTCTGTGTCCTTAATACTGAGCCAAGTGTTTAGCATACATTCTCTCATTTCTTCATCCCTACTGCCCTCTGAAGGTAGTAGTAATACCATAAGCCCCATTTTCCAGAAGAAGAAACTAATAGATTAAGATATCTCTCACACAGAGCATCAGCTTGTGGACTGAAGGGTCCTGGGTTTGATTCCCATCAAGGGCACATGCCTGATCCCCAGTAGGGGGCGTGCAGGAGGCAGCCAATCAGTGATTCTCAATATTTTTTTTTAAGTTTATAATGGTCTTTATTATCCATGAATGAGTGAGGTCATGTGGCATTTTTCCTTCATTGACTGGCTTATTTCACTTAGCATAATGCTCTCCAGTTCCATCCATGCCGTTGCAAATGGTAAGACTGCCTTCCTT